GTGAGCCATCCTGTAGGCGCGAAACCATCAAACCCGATGAGTTCACTGTGATTCCTGGGACTTCTGGGATGCAAATCCACGAAACCCTGTGATTTCAGTGAGATTCCTGGGATTCCTGGGATTGCAAGCCTTGAAGCAAAACCAACCTTGAGATCCCCAGGAGGTTCAAGGCTCAAAATCCCAGGCATCCCAATGAAATCACAAGGGTTCGCGACGTCGGTGATGCGCAAGCCCTGTGATTTCTCTGGGATTCCTATGATTTCTGGGATGCAAATCGACGGAACCCTGCGATTTCACTTGGATTCCTGGGATTCCTGGGACTTCACACCCTAGAGCAAAGACAACCTTGGGATCTCCAGGAGGTCCAGAACTCAGAATCCCAGGAACCCAATGAAATCACAGGGTTCGCGACGTCGGCGATGCGCAAACCATGCGATGTCACTGGGATTCCTGAGATTTCTGTGATGCAAATCTACGAAACCCTGCGACAGCATTGGGGTTCCTGGGATTTCAAGCCTTGGAGCAAAACCAACCTTGGGATTCCCAGAAGGTTCAAGGCTCAGAATCCCAAGACTCCGAATAAAATCACAAGGCTCGCGACGTCGGTGATGAGCAAACCCGATGATTGCATTAGGATGCCTAGGATTGCTGGGATGCAAACCCACGAAACCTTGTGACTTCACTGGGATTCCTGGGACGCCTGGGATTCCAAGCTTTGGAGCGAAACCAACCTTGGAATTTCCCAGGAGGTCCAGGGCGCAGAATCCCAGGAATCTTAGTGAAATCACCGGGTTCGCGACGTCGGTGATGCGCAAACCCTGTGATTTAAATGTGTTTCCTCAGGTCTTTGGGATGCAAATCCACGAAGCCATGCGATTTCACTTGGATTTCTTGGATCTTCGCCCTGAACTTCTGTAACCCCATGGTTCGTATTTTGTTTTTGCTCTGGGGCTGGAAATCCCAGGAACCCCAGGAAGCCCAATGAAATCACAAGGTTTCGCGGAGTTGCATCCCAGAAATCCCAGGGAACCCCAATGAAATCACAAGGTTTTCGCATCACCGACGTCGCGAACCCTGTGATTTCACTAAGATTCCTGGGATTTTGAGCCCTGGACCTCCTGGGGATCCCCAAGTTGGTTTTGCTCCAAGGCTTGGAATCACAGGAATCACAGGAATCCCAGTGAAGTGAAATCACAAGGTGTCGTGGATTTGCATCCCAGAAATTCCAGGAATCCCAATGCAACCATAGGGTTTGCGCATCGCCGACGTCGCGAACCATGTGATTTCACCTGGATTCCTAAGATTCTGAGCCCTGGACCTCCCGGGGAATCCCAAAATTAGTTTTGCTCCAAGGCTTAAAAGCCCAGGAACCCCAAGAATCCCAGTGAAATCACAAGGTTCCGTGGATCTGCATCCCAGAAATCCAAGGAATCCAAATGAAATCACAAGGTTTGCGCATCACCGACGCCTGGAACCCTGTGATTTCAATTGGACTCCTATCATTCTGAGCCCTGGACCCCCTGGGGATCCCAAGGGTGGTTTTCTTCCAAAGCTTGAAATCCCAGGAACCCCAAGAATCCCAGTGAAATCACAAGGTTTCGTGGATCTGCATCCCAGAAATCCAAAGAATCCCAATGAAATCATAAGGTTCGCGCATCACCGACGTCGCGAACCCGGTGATTTCACTTGGATTCCTAAGATTCTGAGCCCTGGACCCCCTGGGGATCCCAATGTTGGTTTTGCTCCAGATGTTCGTGAATTTGCATCCCAGGAATCCAAGGAATCCCATTGAAATCACATGGTAAAGAGACGGGCGAAAGCGAACGGAGAAAGCAAGCAAGGGAGAGGGACAGAGAAAGGGCCAATGAGAGAAGGGGGAAGATGAGGAAGAGGAGGAGGAAGATGGGGAGGAGAAGGAGGAGGAAGAGGATAATGATGATGATGATGATGATGATGATGATGATGATGATGATGATGATGATGATGATGAGGAGGAGGAGGAGGAGGAGGAGGAGGAAGAGGAAGAGGAGGAGGAAGGGGAGGAGGGGGGAGGAGAAGAGTGACGAGGAACGGGAGGAGGCAGACATTCAGGGGGCGAAGGAAGAGAATGGACGAGCAGAGGGATAGTAAGAAGAGGTGGAGTTTTGGATCGGGAGATGTTCAATAAGGAACCCAGGGTCTCGCCACCAATAGGCGACCTGTTATGGGCTACATCGCCCACTTCGCCTCGCAACGAAGGAATCCACCGAGGGCTGGCCCTCCAGATGACGTTCCTTATTCAATGCCGCCGTCGTAGGGCGAGAACGGGATCGGACAGTAAAGAGCAATGCGAGTGCGAGCAGCGTGAATCGCAATGAAATTCCATGGGTGCTGGGGGGGCTGCGCACATATACGTGTATACTATATATGTGTGTGTATGTAGTTATGTGCTTATGTATATGTATATGTATATTTAAATGTATATGTATATGTATATGTACATCTATATATATATATATATATGTATATATATATATATGTATATAGATATGTGCGTGTATGCGTGTGTGCGCATATGTGCATTGAGAAAAACACCTGTATGAATGTATGCACGCATGCAATTACGTATGAAATATGTTTGTGCATGGTTCTCCCCATGCTCAGGCCGTCTCGCCGTCTCGCGGCCGATAGGCTTCCGAGGCCTCAGAATGGTTCCAAGACGCTCGAGAGAGCCCCTAATAGGCTTCAAGGGCCACGAGGCAAGCCCGAAGGCCAACAAGAGCGCCCCGAGAGGACTCCAAGATGTGAGCATTCGGGCTCCAGCGGGAGGATCCTGACATATTACCCCTCCTTGCTGATCGATGACTTCCTGGACGGCACCAAGAGGGCCGCCAACTCCCCAAAACCCAAGACCCCAAGAGGACTCAAAGGATCCCGAAAAGACCACAAGAGAGCTTCCAGATAGCTCCAAGATGGGTCCAAGAGGACCCCCGGTGTCAGTAAGCCCACCAGTATTGACCTCTCCGCCCCACAGCATATGTACAGACTTCCCTCCTCATGACAGTTCCCCTGGAGGGGGAGACGGAGGCAGGTTCTCAGCAAGTCAGGATCGTGCCTGAACGCGCAAAAAATGGCTCATGGTCACAAGCCGGGCCACGGCCAGGGAACTCACCCGACAAGCGACCCGCGTGGAGGACTCCTGGGGGCTGCACCCGCAAGTGCAGGAGGACCTCGAAGATAAGATAACTATGGCAGGCGACGGCGAGAACCCCGCGCCCATGAGCTCCTCAGAGGGCTCCCAGTGCCCCCTTGCGGCGGCGAGCAGCAAGCCGGCTCCAGCCGAGCGCTGCCCCCTCCGAGGCCGTCGGTGCGAAGCCCTCCCTCCCCGCAGGGTAGCCATGCCGGCGAGGGCGCGCCTGCTCATCCTCCCTCCCTCGATCTCTCCCGCCCCCCCCCAGGTGCCTGCGGCGACAGAGAGCCGCCCGGATGAGCGCTGTCGGGATGAGATGGCCTTCCTCTCGAGCAGCGAACGCGCGAGCGAACGCTGGAGTGACGCTGGAGTCGTGCGCGCTCCGCGAGGGAGCTCGTCTGTGCCCATCGGGGCATGGCGCAGAGGCCGTGGCCTCAAGCATGTGAAACGTAAGCGAATTCGTGTGAAAGCCATCACTCACTGCTCCATGCCGCTGATCCCGCTCGGCGTCGGCGTCGCAGCATTGCCCGCCCGAGCTGTGAAAGTACTTCTGGGTGTCGTCGTGAGGTGTCGCAGTCATGCTGAAGAACTAGAGCCAGGCAAATGGACTGCGAAGCATGCCGCGTCAATGAAGGTAATCCCTGGCGGAGCTTCGCGCTTCAGGAAGCCCACCCTACAAAAAGCTAGCAAGCACAGTCCCAGAAGCCCCCTGGGCGTGAGGGATCGACAATCACGCTCGGCAAAAGCCATTTGTATGGCAGGCAAGAGCCACCCCCGCGTCCGCATGTGCAAGACACCGCCTCGGCGGCGACGCCGCCGCCCTGCCTGTACGCCCCAGGGAGGTTGCCCTCGGGGGGAGGCGCAGGGAGGAGGGGCCACGGATCCTGGAGGGCCCCCGGGAGGCCGCCAGGAGAGCCCCGAGAGACCAAACCGGGATTCGAGATTCTTATATACGAAAGCCGACTTGCTCCATGGGGGGCGCTCTCGGGGGCCTCTGAGGGCCTCGCGGGCACTCCAACAGTGTCTTGCTTGGGGGGCATGTTGAAAGCCTTACCCGCCAGGATGACTCCCCAAGGCCCCTCTTGGCGCCCTCTTGGGAGTCTCTTGGGGCCCTCTTGGGCCGTCTTGGGAGCCTCTTCGGAGGAATCCGAGCTGACATGTCGAGCCCTTTCCCAAACGATGACCCTCGAGACCGCCAGCAGGCCCCCAAGAGGCCAGAGGCCCAAAATACTTTCCCCAAGAGGCCCACAAGAAGCCCCAGGAGGTCCCAAAATATCGACAGGAGATCCCCAGAGGCCTCCCAAGAGACTCCAGGACGCCTCTCGAAAAGGCGGCTTGTCCACGACACAATTTGGCACCAAGAGTGCCCTCCTCCTCCTCCTCCACCACCTCCTTCTCCTCCTCCTCCTCCTCCTCCTCGCTCGACACAAGCACGCCAACATAGCAACATCGGGGATCTTCTGACCAGAGTCAATCCAGACCCGGGTCGGTCAGGCCTTGCAGGATCCTGCAAGATCCTGCAAAATCCTGCACCCAAACCAAGGATAATGCGGCCCTTGCCCTGCAGGATCCTGCAAGATCCGGCGCTCTGGCTGACCCCCGTTTGCCTTGACCCCGTCTCTTGAGTCCCGACAACAGTGATGCAATAGATATGGGCCGGCGGAATGACCGAAGCGATTGAATAACGCCGCGGCAGCGGACCAAGAGTGACGAAAAGCTTCTCGACACTACTGAGACTACTGTGTCCTTGTCGCCTCCAGCATTGTAAAATACTCAACATCGCGAGACGTTCTGACGAAGACTGTCAAGGCGAAGACGAGAAGCGATACCGTCAACTCCTGATGCGTGTCGACCTGGCCATGAAACCACGAGACAACTGCGACATACACGAGGCCCAAAAGAGGAGACACACTTGGTCTGGCATGAACAAGCTCACTGCGATTCGTTGGCAGGTTGTCACGGGGCCGCCTGCTAAGTCGATGCAGCCTTTGGCGCTGATCGCAAGGTACATGATGGCAACGTAGTGGAGCAGATGGATCCCCAACACGACACGCGGAGTCACCCAACGTGGTCTGACAGTACCTACCATGAGCACTGAAGTCATTGCGATCATGGCGGGGTGGAGCCTGGAAGGAGCGTCGTACATTGCATCGCATGCAACATGTTGAAGCAGAATGCACACAACCACATAGTAGGGCACAACCAGGTCACTTGTTCCGAGAGACGCCTGTCTGCCACATCAGTCAATTGACGATGCAACGGGTGCGCTGGTGTCGTGAAAAGCAACCTCTAAGCATCAGAAACTGAGCCCCATCGAGGTGAGTGTGTCCAGCCGAGAACCGAAAGCCCGCCAGACAATGACAACGAACAACAGGCTACTGAAGACAACGAGTGTGGTACGACAGACGCGCTCGTTGAACATGTTCGGGGCTGGAGATGTCAGTGCCCTTACCTGAGATCGACTCACTGGTATGCGCATGGACTTGAGCCTTTCGCTACATGAGAGCACACCGAGAAGCCCCGAGCGGCTTGCCCAAGGTACCCAGAACACACCGAATGGGGCCAGTTGAAAACCCTAAGCATCAACGGGCGTCCGCAAAAGAACCCGTGAGAGTCCCGGAAAGCACCACGAACCCCAAAGGACACACATTCAGAGTTTCACCAAGCTCTCGGCCACTGAATGCCGTCGCCTGGACGAGCAGGACAATAGAGGAGCGAAAAGCTGCATGAACAGAACATGTTGGAGCTCTGGGCGGGTTTCCTGGACCTGCGCCGGGGCCCCCCACCTGCGCCTCTGGCGCCGCCCCTGGCGCGCTCCGCGCGCCAGGGAGGGGGGTCCAGCGGAGAACCAAGCACTCCGCGCCGAGCTCCAAGAGCCTATGCTCATGCCGCACTTGACTTTCATTTTTTTTGGTTCCAGTGAAGCTCGAGACCATCTCTCGGGCGGACGCCATAACGCGCCGCCCCCGCGCGCCCCTCCGCGGGCCGCCGCGCCGCCTGCGGGCTCCAGCGCCGCCGAGGGGGCCGCCCACTAAGCCGCCCGCAGGGGCCAGCAGCACGCGGCGGAGGGGGGCTGCGCCGCGGCGCGCTGGCCCTGCCAGCGGGAGGCGCGGTGGTAGAGCCCGATGCACGGCAGGATCAGGCACAGCGACAGCCAGACGAGCCCGTCGAGCTCCGTGCGCCGCAGCAGGGGCCAGTCCACGCAGGCGAAGAGGATCGTGGAGATGGGGAAGATCGCCTTCAGCGACACGAACGTGGCGAGGGCTCCAGAGCACTTCACCGAGACCAGGATGGAGACGTTCCACAGGACGTTGAAGACAACGTAGACGATCATGCACACGTCGACGCTCTCCGCGTGCACAGCGTCTGGGCCGCAGGACTCGGGGCTGGAATTGAAGACGCACGCGAACGCCTCGCCTAGGTATTCCAGGACACCTTCTCCATGATGAGTCTGTCCAAGAAGCACGTTCATAGGGACAGTCAACAGAGTGAAGGGCAGCTGGAAGAGGGACGCGTGGAAACAGACTACGAAGACGTTCAGGCTCTGGCCAGTGCTGTCGATGCCCTGCCGCTCGAGCCAGCCTGAATAGCGCTTGAACAATAGCTCCTTCACAATGAACGAGATAGCATTGAAAATGCAAGATCCGCAGAGAACTGTCACGAAGAATGGTCGCGACACATTAGAATGGTCATCGGCAGTATCTTTGAAGCTGGGTAGCACGCCAAGCACGACCCCTGTAATGACGCCCATCAGGCTCAGAACCTGCAGCAAAGAATACGTCTGCTGCAGCACGCAGAAAGCCAGAATAGCGATGAACACCGGGACGCAATTCGACGTCAGCGAGTTTATCGGACCAGACACGTAAGGAGAGCAGATCATGCTGATCACATCGCCCAGGGTGTCTCCTAAGGCCGCCAGCGCGAAGAGGAGTATGTACCGGAAACCGCGGGCGTCTGGCCGCCAGACGAAGTCGAGCTGGTGGCGCGGGACGGAGCCCGACCGCGCCAGCCCCGCCAAGATGGCTCCGTACAGCGGCACGTAGGCGACGGCGGTCGCCAGGGTCAGCACGTAAGTGTAGCGGTTGAGGGGCTTTGTCGCGACCTGCCTGGAGATGTTGTTCCCGCAGCCGAAGACCACCACCAGGACCGCGAGCCCGACCTGGGTGGCCGGCCCGACCGCCTCGCCCCCGCGTGCACGCCGCGCGCCGCTGCTCCCGCCGCCCTCCTGCTGGGTGGCGGACAGGGGCCGGTGCAGGTCGGACAGCGGCGGCTGCTCCACCGAGGCCATCTCCGTCTTCTGCTGCATCCCCCTGGGGAACGAACGACCCACGTACACACACCCACACACCCACAGATACTCCAGATTTCGTAATAAAAGGGAGGGGGTCTGGACCCTCCCAGACGAGAAGTTTTAGACCCCCCCGTGGGAGAACCCTCCAAAACATCGTCCCCAGACCCCCCCAGGCCCTCCAAGATGGCCTGGAAGAGACCCCCCCCGAAATGAGACCCCCCTCCCTTTATTGCGAAATCTGGAGTACCCACGGGGGGGCTCGAAAGAGGAGGACTGGCCGGGGGTATGGGTGTGGTTTGCCGGGCCAGGGGGGAGGCCCACGTTCGACGAGGGCCCCCCCTCCGACAGCACGCACCCATAGCCCCCTGCGTCCCCCCTGTATTGACTACCTACCAGACCACCCCAACCCAACCCGAAGACCCGAATTTCGGGATGGGGGGGGTAAGGGTTCCACATGTGTTTTTTCGATGTTTCCCGACCCCCCCACACTGGAAATCGAGGGTAAATCTGAGACTTCGGGTTGGGTTGGGGTGGTTTGGTGGGTGGTGATGTATGGGCAAGGGTGGGTGTGTGTGTGCTGTTCGTCCGTCATCCCCCGGCGGGGTGGCGGCGGCAGGGCATGGCACGCTCGCCCGGGGCTCGCGCCGAAGCAGCTCTGGAACGGTTTGCTTCGTGTTGCAAGTCCCTGGGATCCAGGCTCTGCAGCTGCTTCACACTGTGTGTGTCCGCTGGGCTTCGGGCCTTGGGAACATCACAGATCGACCCAGCTCGAAAAATGCCACAGAAAGATCGGGGTCCAGGGCTCTGGTCGAGTTTGCTTCGCGGCGTCGCAACTCCTTCGCAACGCCGGACTTCGGGGCTTTTTGCCTGCAGCGCGAGCGGCCGCTGAGGCGCCTGGGGGCCAGCGGGGCGTGCCGCACTGCAGCACACCAGTGCAGGTGGACACGAGAAGGGCGGCCACGCAGGCGAGGAGGGCGCTCGCCGCGGCGAGCGCGGGCGCCCTCGGTCCACGGCCCGACGCGGGGAGGCGGAGGGGAGGCGGGGAGGAGAAGGGGGGGGGGCGGAGGGGGGCGAGGAAAGAGGGGGGGAGGGAGGGAGGGAGGGAGGGAGGGAGGGAGGGAGAGAGGAAGGAAGGAGGAGGAGGAAGGAGGAGGAGGAGGAGGAGGAGGAGGAAGGAGGAGGAAGGAGGAGGAGATCTCGCCCGCAGAGGGCCTGCAGCCTGAGGAGCGCGCAGGCGGTCTCGGGCACTGGAGTCCAGCGGGCGCCCTGACGGTGCGTCTCAGCACGAGCTGCTGAAAGGGGGGCAGCGCTGGTAGGGAGCCCACACGGGACGTACGCGCCCAGACCACGCACAGTGGAGGCCAGTCCACAAGAAACCTTCCACAAGAAACACAACCCTCAGACCCCTTATCAATTTTCAAACATTATTTCCTGAGCTCGTGTTTCTGGGGATCCAGGGTGGCCGCTCCTCCTTCGTCGCCTGATCTATCAGCACGCTCAATTTTTTGGGGGCTCGAGGGATTCGGGCACGGGCTCTCGCTTTCGCCCCCCCTCGCGCCTAGTGGGCGCCCATCCGCGGCGCGGCCGCGGCTGGGGCGCATCTCGCGCCTTGGGTTTCGGGAGGGCCCCTGCGGGCCCGGGGCGGCGCCCTAGCGCCACCACGGCGCAGCGCGTGGCCCACGCGCTGTTCTGGACGGTCTTCGTGATCCTGGGCTTCACCGACCAGCCGCGGCCGCTCGACGGTGACGACGCGGAGGAGGTGGCCTTGCCTGCGACCAACGAGGACGTGGAGTACACGGAGAGGGCCCACGACGGCGATCGTGGGACGCAACCTTGGAAGACGATGTCGTTCAAGAAGTGGAATCGGCTCTACTGGAGAAGCAGCAAGGACGGCCCCGCGGGCGTGGTGATGCTGTTCCTCGAGAAGGCTCCGGCGAGCGCGGGTCGCGCTGGCGAGTGGACGGCTCTGGACCCGACGGGGCGGGTGCAGCTGATCAACCCCAAGGACAGGCACCACGCCAGCATGCGGCCCAAGGCTGGGGTCACCTACTCGGACCACGCAGGCCTCAGCCCTCACGACAAGGAGGAGGCGGAGCAGGCGAGCAAGCGGCTGCTCGACAGGATGAAGGGCGTGACGAAGCCGGCTTCGCCGAAGAAGAAGCCTCCTCCGAAGTCTGGGAAGCGCCGCATCGTCCTCCTGCCCAGCTTCTCGGCCACCAAGGCGGCGGCCTCGGTCGGGGTCTGGGCTTGGGCTCGGCGCAGCTGGGGCCCGTTCGCGGGCGCTGGTATCCTGGCATGGCGGGCGTGGAGCTACTTCAACATCTACGGGTGGCTGGTCGCCATCTACCAGAAGTACGAGCAGGGGCGCGAGTGGTTCGAGCACTTCGGCGAGCTGGGCGACAGCATCGGGGAGATGCACGAGAGCGGGGAGCTCGACGCGCTCATCCTGACCCTGGTCGGGATCGTCCTCGCTGCGTGTTGGTTCTTCGGCTTCGGCGGCGGCTCGGTCGGCACCGACTTCGAGGGCTCGGAGAGCGACGACGACTCCGCCGCGAGCGAGGCGGTTTCGGATGCGGAGTCGACGGACGAGCCAGGCTCGATTGCCCCCATGGACTCATGGAGGCCGCCCTCGCGGGGCAGCAGCAGATGTCGGAGCTGATGCAGTCCATCAAGGAGCTGGAGGAGAAACCCCCCGCCGCCTCGGACGCGCCGCCTCGCGGCGCCCGTCGCAGGCGGGACGACGCCCAAGGCGAGGACGAGGAGGAGCTCATCGAGCCTTCGAGGGACCAGATCGAGGGGTTGCTGCGGAAGCCGCAGGAGCACGAGAGGGTCGTGGAGGACGACAGCGCTCGGGCCACCAGGGGATCGGCATCGGGAGCACCCAGCCTCTCGACCTCGCACGGCTTCGGCTCGTGGGGGGCCTCGGCGGCGGCTCTGCTGGGTCGCCGCAAATGGGATCGCTCAGGACGCGCATCAACGAGCTGGAGATGGAGTCCCGCAACCCCCGCGAGATGATGATCAACGCGCTCAAGCGCTTCGACCTTTCGGCCGACCTCGGGCGCGTGGGCGAGATCCAGACCAGGGTCGCTCCCGAGGTGCTCACGCGCCTCTATCGCGGCGGCCGTAAGGCTCAGGCCGAGCTGCGGGAATGGCTGCGAAGCGAGGAGCTCGAGAGCTGCGGCGCGGCGGCGGAGGTCCTCGCCCTCGGCATGGCCCTCGACCGCATGATCGAGACAGAGCCCCCCGGCCTCCGTCATCAATTCGAGGGCCGCGGAGCTGGTCTGCTTGAGGATCTACAGCCTCATGAAGGCGTTCGACAAGGCACAGAAGAAGGACGACCGGTTGCGCCCCAAGAGTCAGGCGGGGGCGAAGTGGAAAGAAAAGCAAGGTCGACCGGGCGCTGGCGGAGCAGTACTTCAGGCTTGACAAGAGCGAGAATGACATTGATGCGGCGGACGACGAGGTGACCGAGAAGCTCTAGAGGAAGGCGCTCTTCCAGAAGCAGTTGGGGTCAGTCTCGTCCTCCGCCGCGGACGAGGATTGACGGTCTAGCCGTCCCTTGGTGGCGGGGCTGTCCAAACTCGGAAGTCCACCCGAACCCGAGCGGGGAAGGTCGCCCCCGTTCCTCCTCTCGTTCGTCACCTACTTCGTGTACTGGCTCATCTTCGGGCCCTTCAGCTTCCAGTTCAGCGTGGGCTGCTGCGCTGCTGCACGCGGTCGGCGCGCGACGCGTTCCATCTGCGCGGCGGCTTCAGCGCGCGCCGCCCCCTGAAGCTCCTCCGACGGGCCCCCAGTTTTGGAGGTCGAGCGGGTTGTGCATTTGTTCGCTCGGCCTGGTCGCGATCCAGTTCGTCGTCACGTCCAAGGACGGCGCCAAGAGCAGGGGGGCCTCCGAGCTCGGCCCAGGACAGGCGCGCGGGCATCGAGATCTGCTTGGAACGTTACCTTTTATACCAGCGACGTGGCGCGCTCCCTCGGACGACACGTTGAGCGAGGCGCAGCGGCGCATTACCTGGCTTCGGGCCAACCGCGCAGTGGCTGCGCTTCGAGGGCTCGGCAGGGGGCACTTCAAGGAGCTGAAGGACTGGGAGTCGCACGTCATCAAGGGCGAGTGGGACTGGTCAGCGTTCTTGCAGACGGAGATTGTTCGCTCTGTCTGGAGCGAGCAGAGCAGGAGGCCCTCCTGGGGCTCCGTCGACGACGGCAGGGCGGTTTTGCGCCGCCCTGGCGAGAAACTCCACGTTGGCTTTGGGAGCGGCTCTGCCTCGGAGGCGGGAGGGAAGGAGCAGCTACAGAGAGGGGCCCTGTGCCCGTTGAGAGCGCGCGAGGTCGACCTTCCTCCGAAGAAGCTTCGAGGGGCCAGCGCGAAGGAGCTGGCGCGGTCGGCGGCCGCGTACCTCGAGGAGCCCGGGCGCCTCATGCTGAACACGGAGGCGGAGATCGATACGAAGGAGCATTACAAGATCAAGCCGCACGAGGCGCCCGAGCTCAAGCAGGGCAACACCCGGCTGGAGCTGGCGCTGAAGATGTGGGAGTCCAACATGCTGCAGTACGTGGACGAGGTGCGCGAGAAGCTCTCGGTCTTCACGGTCGTCAAGAAGGTGGAGGGGAAGGGCGTCGACAGGAAGGTAGTCTCTCGTCTGGTCTGGGACGCGCGTCGGGTCAATCTGCACTTCGAGACGCCCCCGCGAGTTCCACTCGGCTCTCCAGCGGCGTTGGCCGAGATCGACCTCGGGCCCGACATCCTCGGAGACAAGCAGTTTTTGACCTTCCAAGGCGACGTCCCCGTGATGCTCTATCGGCTGAAGAACCTGCCCGAGCTCTACCCCTACTTTGTCTTGGATGGTGCGGAGCCGTGGGAGCTGTGGCAGTTCGCTCAAAGTCAAGGAGTCGATACACCAAGACCGCCCGACGGCACGGTAGGCGTCGCCTGCTGCGCGGCACCGATGGGCTGGAGCTGGGCCGTTTTCTTTGCGCACACCTCGCTCACCGAATGGTTCGACGACGTGGAGGCG